CCCCAAAACCCCAAAACCCCAAAACCCCAAAACCCCATAAAAATTTCGGTAAATTGAAATATATCTAAAGAATTTCTTCTTCTCTGAACTTCATAAGTAGGTCTTTCACTGTAAAGGAGCCAAGTTGCTGACCATCTCTGTTCCTGAGATGAACAGTATCGGTCTCTTGCTCTTGAGCTCCAACAACGAGAATGTAAGAAGCTTGTGCAATCTGTGCGTTCCTGACTTTCTTACGCAAGGTGAGATTTGTCTTGTCGACACTACTCTGATAACCATTACGAAGGAGCTTAGCATTGACTCTTTGTGCATAGTCTACAAATTTTTGAGAGACTGGCACAATTAATGCTTGATGAGGGTTGAGCCAGAAAGGCCATCTTCCTCCTGTATGCTCGATCATAATTGCCATAAATCTTTCGATAGAGCCTAGGACAGCTCTATGAATAATAACTGGCCTTCTCATTTCATCTTCTCCTTGATACATCAAATTGAATCTTTCTGGGAGAAGGAAGTCTAATTGGAGAGTAGCAAGTTGCCAATTCCTTCCAAGCATATCCTTAATTTTTACGTCTATTTTTGGACCATAAAATGCTCCATCACCAGGGTTTAGTTTCCATTCCTAAAATTTATGAATCAAAATTCTTAAAAAGTATCTTTTTCTAGAAAAACTAAAAATCATATCTCTCAAGTAAAGTATACACCTCCATCATCAAAATCAAGTTCCAACCTCAAAAAAATCTTTCAAATATTCATATCTTTATTCTAAAATCCATTTTGGTACCTTATTGTTAATTTCCAATCCCTTCACTAAAGCTTGTTCTGCAATATCCCAAACATGATCACTTCCCATTCTCTTCTCTGGCCTCGTAGAAAGTTCAAAGGTATATTCAAAGCCGAACTTGCCATAGATATACTCCATGAAGTTGATTCAACCAGCTAAATTTTCAATTAATGAAGATTATTCACTCACCTATCTCTTCTTGGATTTGTTCAAAGGTACAAAATATATGAGCGTCATCTTGTTGGAATCTCCTGACTCTAGTTAATCCAGATAAGGCACCACTAATTTCATTTCTATGAAGAACACCAAAATCAGCTAGTCTAAGAGGAAGGTCATTATAGGACTGAACTAGCTTTGGAAACATTAAGCAATGAGCTGGGCAGTTCATCGGCTTGAGTCCGAACCACTTGTTTTCGCTATTGAAAATGTACATATCTTCACTATAGTTATTTTAAATGACCTGAAGTTTTCCAAAGGTCGATGCCAAACACGTTTGGAGTGATGACTTCTTGGTATCCTCTGACTTTATATTCCCGCCTCAAAATCTCAATCAACTTATTATAGATAAATGCTCCATTAGGAAGAAATCCGACTCCTCCCGGAGACTCCATATCAAGAGTAAATAGCTTTTGGTTCTTTGCAATAACTCTGTGGTCTCTTTTAGCGATCTCTTCTTGTAGCTTTTTCCATTCCTTTAACTCATCTCTAGTCTTAAAAGAGATTCCATGGATCCTTTGGGTTTTAGGGTTCTCAACATTTCCTTGCCAGTAAGATCCAGACTGCTTCTGAACGATGATTTCTCCAATGTATCCACTGTGAGGAAGGTGAGGACCAGTGCAAAGGTCTACCAAGTTTCCAACTCTGTAAATACTGACGGTGTTATGCTTCTGAATATGCTTATCAATAAGTTCTCTTTTAAACTTGTTCTCTGCAAACATCTGTCAAGCTTGTTCATAAGTGACTTCAATCCTTTGGAATTCTTTGTTTTGTTTGACTAGTTTATTCACTGCCTTCTGGATCTTCTGTAGCTGATCTGAAGTAATAGTTTCTTCATTTTTAGGAAAATTAGCGTCATAATAAAATCCTTCATGCTCTTTCACTGGTCCAGTACATAGCAAGCAAGAGTAGAGATCTTCAAGGGAATGACCAAGAATATGGGCACTTGAGTGCCAGAAAATCTCCTTGCCTTCTCTCTCATCTTGGAATATGAACTGTAGATTGACAGACTCTTCTAAAGGTTTGGAAAGATCAATAATTCTGTCTTTTCCTCCATTAGGATTAATAATCTTAGCACCTACGATCTTTTTATACTGTTTCTTGTTCATAGTTTTCTTGGCAAGTTCCATTGGTGTCGTAGCGTAAGCAATGGTCTTGAAGGTTTCATCTCCAACTGTAATAAGAATCTCCTTCCTAAACCTTTATAATAAGTCTTACTTTTGAGAGGCAAGCTTTTGAACGGCTTTCATCTGCTCTTGATAATGCTTTTCAAACAGATCCAGCCTTCTCTGGACATACTGTTGGAGAGCAGAACTAGTAGAATTAAAGTATCTTTGGTTTACAAAACTTCCTTGAAACACAGAGGAAATTTTAGTGAATGTTCCAAACCTCTTAACTGGGTTAAGCCTCGTTAGCATATTCATGGCTAAAATTTTACAATATTTTTGTTCCTTCGAGGGGTTTTGGGGTTTTGGGGTTTTGGGGTTTTGGGG